TTCGCACTGTAACTGGCAATATGTAGGTAAATCAACTTGATCACAATTGCAGAATTGTATGAGAAGAAAGTTCTAAGGAAGAGATTTTGGGCAGGAAAATAATTTACCTTGTTTATTTGTGGGTTTTTTTTTTTTTTTTTTGGTTATATGATATACTCTCTTTCAACCATTTTATATACCCACAAATTATGTAGTTTCTCCGATGTGTCCTATGGAGTTTTGTGTTCTGGATTGTTAACAGTCTGTTTGCACATCTCAGTGTGAGACCAACCTGAGTATTGGGAGACATTATTCTTCATAAATTATGATCAGTATGATCAGTTTCACACAAGCTGTGTACTAATCTGTTTAGGTCAGCAGAATAATCTGATAAAATGTGTCAGTTTCGTTAGAGTTTATTTTTTTTTTTAAAGATTTATTTTGGGCCCTCCCTGGTGGCGCAGCGGGTTGAAGCGCATCACAGAGAAGCTTAAGCCACTTCTGCATGAGTTCGATCCCCGCCTGCCCCAGAGGAGATCCACATGGCGAGCAGTGGGACCCGCCCACTGCTCCCCTCAGCAGTGTACTTTGTCGATCTGCCTGTTCTGTACCCCACTCTGTCTTTGGTGAATCCTCTCACCCTCCGCATGACTGGCCTGTACCACCCCAGTTCTGTACGAATAAATAAATAAATCTTTAAAAAAAATGATTTATTTTATTTATGTATACAGAACTGGAGTACAGGACAGAGATGATATAGGGGTGGTGAGAGGATTCACCAGAGGCAGAGTGGGGAATAGAACAGGCAGATCCACGAAGTACACTGCTGAGGGGAGCAGGAGATGGGTAGGAGAGGTCTGCTGCGCCATATGGATCACTTCAGGGGCAGAGGATTGAACCCACCCACACTGAAGTGGCTGGGGCTAGCTTGCAGTGCTGAGTTTTAATCCATTGTGCCACCAGGGAGAGCCTAGTTGGAGTTTCTAAGGTTAATACTTGACATTTTTCCTTAATGTTCTCAGGTAGGATTCAGTTTGTTTTTCCATTTCTTCTAATGGTTGAGTTCTCACATGATGGAAAGGTCAGGTAAAGTGTTGTTTTCAGCAGTGAGTCTTAGGTCATGTTATATAAAAAAGGGATAACTAGTGAATAAAAATGTCCTTTTTACTCTCTGATTGTGTTAAAGTAAATGTGTTATGGTCAAGTTATGTGACTGTATTGCTGGTTGTGAAATGTACATAAAATGGCTGTGTTAGGTAATAATCTATATGAAAGTTTTGAATTTCCTCGAATAATGCATGGTTAACAATAAATAATTGATTTATTAATAAATAGTAGTAATTAACAGTTATTGGGCCCTTGTCTGCCAAGATCTATACTGTTTCACACATATTAAATTATTTAATCTTCATAAAAGTCTTAAATATTTTGTGAACTACATATTATGAACTAAAACAAGTCATTATAAAAACATGATATTTACATGAGATTTCTTAAAGTCAAGCTCTATGTATGGAGGGATATGGGAAGAGAACAGTACCAGTATTCGGTTACAGAGGATAAATAAGGCACAAATAAAGAGGCAAAATGAAAATTTAAACCCAGGCTGTCTGGCTCAGGTGTCTTCTTCCTTATACTAGAGAGTAGAATTACGCTGTGCTCCTCGTTAAGGTTCTTGCTTCAGTGGTGGGGCAAGAGAGTATAATCTGGAGAATACTTCAGTTAATATAGCAAAATTTCATCTCCCCAGAACATTTGGGAAATAGAATAATTTAAGAAGCAGAGTATTACAAAGAACTCAGAATATCTCTTTTGCATTACATGGTTTTTGGCCCTCTTACATTGAACATAGAGTATGTGATCAACCTTTCTTGATGATTAACAACTTCATCAGGAATGTCAATCTTTCATTTTAGCAATTCTAGTTGTATGTTTTAACTGATGACTAATGATCTTTTCATGTGCATATTGGTTGTTCTGATAATTTCTTTTGTGAAGTATCTGTTCAGATTTCTTGCTCATTAGTTTAAACATTAGATGGTTTGTTCTCTTACTGTTGAATTTTGGATACATGTCTTCTGTTGATTATTTGTATTGGCTGTATGTTTCCCCATTTGTGACTTATTTTTTAAATTTCTTAACAGTATGTCCTAAAGAAAATTTTGAACTTTTGATAAATTTCTATTTTATTCTTGTATTTTTTTATTATAGGTTTTTTTTTTTTTTTTTGAGAATAGGCAGCTAAAGCTATATTATCAGTAATTGGGTTGAGGTAGAGCTAGTAAATTATATAATCAAATTCAGGTATTAACTTGTACTTTATTCTTTGTATCATAAGTTACAAAGTAAAATTTCAGGGCCCTCTCTGGTGGCACAAAGGATTAAAGCACAGCACTACAAAGCTTGCCACTTCAGCATGAATTCTATCCCCAGCGAGGGAGGTGACCCACATGGTGCTGTAGGCCTCTCCTGTCTCACTTGCTACTCCCCTCAGCAATGTACTTTATCAGTCTGCCTGTTCTGCTCCTCACTCTGTCTCTGGTGAATCCTTTTATCCCCTGCATCTCTGATCTGTACCCCAGTTCTGTATGCATAAATAAATTTTAAAAAATAGTAAAATTTCCTGGATATTTATTTATAATGTTTGTAAGTGGCACACAAAATGTTCAGTTTCACAGTGAGTATATAATAATCATTTTAAGTGCAATTTTTTCCTCTTTTTAAGCTAAGTGCAATAATAATTTAATATAGTAAGCTAAACACACACACATAACCTGGATATCCTAAATTATAAAAGTGGTTTCCATTGCCACATATGGTGTTAGTCAAGTACAGATTTCCACAATGAAAAGTACTAACAAATGTAAACACTAACCCAAATGCTTACCTTGCCATCAGCTTTTCAAGTGGTGCTATTCCTGCTAAGGAAAGCATTTATTTCTAGAAGTCCTGATCTGAAATGGAAAAATGAGTTGTTCTAAAACTTGACAAATGGTATGTTGTAAATCCAAAAGGTTTTATTTTTTTATTTTAAAAGATTTATTTATATATATATACAAGAACTGGGATACAGGCCAGAGATTTGGGGGTGAGAGCATTCACCAGAGACATCGTAGGCAGATTGAATTATACTGAGAGGAGCAGTGGTGGGTGAGGAGAGGTCTTTCTGACCATATGGGTCACCTCCCTGGTCAGGGATCAAACTTGTGTTGCAGTGGCTGCTGCTAGCTTCATAATGCTGTGCTATGACTACCTTTGTGCCACCTGGGAGGGCCCCCAAAGGGCTTTATATAAAAACAAAAACTTCCAACTTGGAAGCATTCATATGAAACTTTGTTATTTGAAAAAAGGAATTAAGACATTGCTCTAGGAGACTCATCATTGTATTCTTAAAAGAAACACAGATAGAACAACGAACAAAAATAGGCAAGAACGCTACCTTAACAGAAACAGTGTTCACCTCTCTGAACAATCTAAAAACTAACCTTAGATTACATGCATCACATGCTTAGCTATCATAAAGTCAAGGATGCCATTTAGATTTCACATATTAAAGAATTATAGTATAGCCTGCAATGGCACAAGTATACCTAGTATATTAATATTACTCTACTGTTTTAAGTTGTCAAGTCAGAAATAACTGCAGTTTACAAGTTGCTTTAATTTAATGTGTGGTCATTAAAACCATATGAGTAGTTTTAAGCTTCCCTCATCTTACACTTTTCGAGCCCATTTTCAATTCTTCATTTATAGTAAGCTTATCTTACCCTAGTGTCCTAATAATGATATCTTATTTTTTTTACGTTATCTGGAGTTATTTAATAATTTTTAAAAGGGAAACTTCTGTTTATTAGTTTGATTATCTTATAGTATAACTTGTATTGGAAGAATAGGACAAAAGCTTGATTCTCTATCCTTTTATTTAACAGTTTTCAAAATAATTGATTCACTAATATTTTCCAACAGTGATCAGTTAGCTTTACGTGTGTGTGTGTCTGTGTGTCAGTATGAATTCAGAGATTTAAACACTTCTGATTTTTAAAAAAGTTTTATTTATTCGTGCATACAAGAACTGGGGTGTAGGCCAGAGGTATGGGGGTGAGAGGATTAATCAGAGACAGAGTGGGGCAGGGGACAGGTGTATCTACTGACATACACTGCTGAGGGGAGCAGCACTGACATAGGAGTATAACTGCTGCTGAGAGTCAGCCCCCTGCCCAGAGATTTAACTCAGGCCACAATGTTTGGTGTTAGCTTGGTGGTGCTGAGACTTTAACCCCTGCACTATCAGGGAGGCCCCACTTTTGATTTGTTTTAATTCACCACATTCATTATCCTTACTGATACTCCAGTAGTTTCACTTTTGGTTAGTGAGACTTTTTTAAAGTTGGCTCTTAACTTATTTTGATATGATCCTTTTGGTGTCTGATAGTATTTTTTCTCACAGATAAGACAGATATTCCGGCTCATCTTTTATGTGTTATGTGCCAGACTTGGTATCAGCCATTTCTCAAAACACCACAATTACTATTAGTGGAAATGGTATTTGGGGACCACATTTTGGCAACTAGGGATGTTCTTTTTCATGGGGTAAATCAGAGGATCATGTAGCATAAAATTCTTGTTGAAATTTGAGCATAAAGCAGGATTGTGATTATATAGCAAAAAGTCTTGGAGTAGGAATCATTTCCTCTTATTTAACTGTATCTACTGGTGACAAAAAAAAAAAAACTTCTATGTGTTTAAAGATACAGCAGTGAACAAAATAGGCAAGAACGCTGACTTTATGACAGCTTACAGTCTGATAAATCCAGGATTCTTGGTATAACTACTGCTAAAAAGTTTGGCCAACAGGTCTTACTTTTGGGGGCTTTCCTCATTTATAAGGTTACAAAATCGTACATAGACAGTTATGCAGTTGTCTGTAGAGTCTTCAGCTGAAAAGTTTATTAATTCTGTTTTTGTCCCTGTGCTTACTCAGTGTTTGTGGTATCCCTCTCCTTTTCTCTATTCTCTTACAGAGATGACAGAAGAAGAACAGTTTGCTCTGGCTCTCAAAATGAGTGAGCAGGAAGCCAGGGAAGTCAATAGCCAAGAAGAAGAAGAAGAGGAGCTTTTGAGGAAAGCCATTGCAGAAAGCTTGAATGTAAATACGCAATGTTGAAAAAGTTTGTGAGGCTCAATCACCAATACTCTTTTACTTCTGCAGTGTTAGAAGCTAGCTATGGTAGTTCCTGAGATTTTCAACTAACAAGTATTTCCCTTAACAATTTTTAAAGTCTGTGTTGATTTGTTGGTGTGCTCAATTTGAAATGTCTTGTTAATTCTATATAAGAGAATTTTCTTCCACCACACAGATTAAAAGTCCATGACTTAAAAGAATGAAATATAGTAATTGGCAGCTTCTAAAAAATGGTACCAAATTCTAGGAAATCAAAATGAGTAAGATACGGTGCTTACCTCCCCTGTTTTGTGGGGAGAGCAAAAAGAATGCAAGTCATTGGTGGGTTATGGAGAAAAAGCATGGGAAGTTTAAAAAATGGTGACTCAAATATGTGTAATTGAAATTACTTTAAATGTGAAGAATATTTGCTCAGGACTGGCTGGTCCTGAGTCTGCCTTTATACCATTTACTTTTCTGTATTAGGAAAAGGCTTAATATAGTGATCTCATCTAGTACTTTGCACATAGAAGGCATGCTATACATTTTGTGAAATTCATTTGAATTGAGCATCTACGCTTTGGAGAGGAGAATCTCTTAGGGACAGTGCCCCTCCCCCCCTTTTCTGTCCTTCCTGTGAAGCTATTTGAATAATAAACCTGGTCTGGTATGGAATCACTTGTTTCAGAGTTGCCGGCCTTCTGATGCTTCAGCTACCAGATCTCGACCTCTGGCCACTGGATCATCTTCACAGTCCCACCAAGAGAAAACCACAGACTCTGGGACCACTGAAGGCATGTCTCCCTGTTCCAACTCCTTCCACTCGTCAAGTAGAATCTTATTACAGGGATTTCATGCTGAGAGTAGATGTATGGAGCAATTCCAAATCCCTTTGGTATTAAAGATGTTAAATCAGAAAGTAGTTGAGATCTTACCAAAATGCAGCATATTTTTATCTCCAAGAGAGAAAACAATATATGGTTAAACCCAAAGAAGAGCCTTTTTTTAACCTCATTATGTAATTCTTGGTAAGTGATTACTTACCAAGCCCTTTTAATAAAAAAGTTTGTCCTTAGCCTTACTTTTTCTCAAATACTTACAGGCATATGGCAGCTGGTACCTCCATCACTGTTTAAAGGCTCACATATCAGTCAGGGAAACGAGGCTGAGGAAAGAGAGGAGCCTTGGGACCACACTGAAAACAATGAAGAGGAGCCGGTCTCTGGCAGCTCAGGAAGCTGTGACCAGTCAAGCCAGCCAGTGTTTGAGAATGAGAACGTTAAATGTTTTGACAGATGTACTGGCCACTGGGCTGAGAACACACAGTGTGGGAAGCCACAGGAAAGTACTGGGAGGGGTCTTGCTTTTCACAAAGTTGGGGACACATCTAGGCATGGTCTGCCTACCCCAGCAGATTCCAAAAGTCTCCAGGACATTGGGGCCACTGTGCACTACTTCTGGGGTATTCCATTCTGCCCTTCTGGAGTAGATCCTAACCAGTATACCAAAGTCATTCTCTGCCAGTTGGAGGTTTACCAAAAGAGTCTGAAAATGGCCCAGAGGCAGCTCTTAAAAAAAAAAGGGTTTGGGGAACCAGTGTTACCTAGACCTCCTTCTCTGATCCAGAATGAATGTGGCCAAGGAGATCAGGCTAGTGAAAAAAATGAAGGCAACTCAGAAGATATGGGAGATGAAGACAAAAAGGAGAGGCAGGAGTCTAGGGCATCTGTCTGGCATTCAAAAACCAAGGATTTCCAAGAAAGCCCAGTTAAAAGCTTGAAAGAGAAACTTTTGTTGGAGGAAGAACCAACAACCAGTCATGGTCAGGTAAGGGTCAGTGATGACTGTGTTTAAGGATGATTTATTCACAGATTAAACAAGGATATTTAGCTATTTGTTGTTTTTGTGGTCTTTTTTAATAAAATTAAGTCATCTGTGTAAGTTATTGTTTTTTTGCTCCACTTAATTTATCTTATATGCTTGAAAACATTATCTGTCAATATGAAATATACCACATTTTATTAAATTTGTTTTTTATTTTTAAGAAGTTAATGTATTGAATAAGTAAGAATGTTAATTTGTCTCAAACTTTAAAAAGATAGAAGTAAATAAAGTAAATTTGTTTCCTATCTCCATTCCCAGCCAACCTCCCTGGAGTCAGCCTTTAGTACTAGTTTTTAGGGTATCCTTCCAAGGTATTTTATGCAGTACAAGCAAATGGGTGTACATATTCTTTATTCATCTTCTTTACACAAATAATAGTGTACTCTATATGTTATTTTGTATATTGCTTTTTTCATTTACTATTTCTCTGAGATCATCCCAGAACAGCACATGAAGAATTTATTTTTAATATACCATGAACGAATAAGTTTACTTTATATAGGGCCCTATTGTTGGATTCAAGTTGTTTCTAGTATTTTCTGTTATAAACACTACTGCAGTAGTGTCTAGTACAGAGGATGTTTTTTCCATATGGGAGATATTTGTACAATAAATTGTTGTCGATTTAACTGGTGGCTGTGTGCCCCTTGTTAGCTATTGACATATTGCGTTCCATAGACATGTATATTTACACTGCCTGCCAGCTTCCTTACAGTCATATTGGTACAGTAGTACCAGGACTTCCTGGTCTTTCTCAATCTGAGAGATGAAAAATACTATCTCAATGTAATCTTAATTTATATATTTTATTATGTATGTAGTTGAGACTGTTTGCATTTATCTTGTTATTTTAGATTTCATGGGCATTTTTACTTTTGACCATCTTTTTTTTAAAGATTTATTTATTCGTACAGAACTGGGGTACAGGTCAGAGATGCGGAGGGTGAGAGGATTCACCAGAGACAGAGTGGGGTACAGAACAGGCAGATCGACGAAGTACACTGCTGAGGGGAGCAGCTGCCAGGCCAGGAGAGGTCTCCGCGGGCAGGCGGAAATTGAACTCATGCGGAAGTGGTTTAAGCTTCTTTGTGCTGTGCTTCAACCCGCTGCGATACCAGGGAGGGCCCACTGACCATCTTTTTCTTAGTAGTTTGTTAGGTACTCTTTGTATTTTTTTTTTTTAACTCTTTGTATATTAAGGGAAATTTTTGTGATATTAAGTACAGATAGTTTTCCAGTTTATTTTTTTTATCCAATATAATGTTACATTTATGTCCTGTTGAGGACATTTAGTTTGCTCCTTCTGCATTTCTAAATCATATTATAGGTGAAAGCTTATTTTGTTTTTTTCCTCTGAATGTTATAATAGCAATTACACAGTTAAAAACTCTTGATAAACTATCATTCTAAAGAGAATTTTATTTTATGACTAGTATGTATTTTATTGTATTTCAGTTCTTGGTTTTGTTTTGCTAATATCCTGTTTGTTTCTCTTATGTTAAAGCTTCAAAAAGTGCTACTTGTGAGAAATTTCATAGCATGGTATAGGGAATATGAATTTAGAATTTCAATTCTAAATTTTGACATTTGTGTTTTAATAATTATGGGCTTTTGGCAAGTCACTTAAACTCTCTAAATCTCAGTTCATATAACTATAAAATGAGAATAGCATTTTATGTGAATTATGTGAAATGCCTAGTTTAATGTTTAGGAGATTACAGATACTCAATAAATGGTAGTTCTCTCTAAGGGACCAGAATGTCATTCATTGAGGGTATCTGAGGGAATATTTCTTCCCTAGCAGCCTTCATCCACATTTGGAACAATTGCCATATAGGAAGAAAAAGCAGTTTTCTTAACAGTTCATCTTGTGACTGGCCTCTTTTTATTTATTTTTTAAAAATGCATTTATTACATCACCCTTCATTTTTGTACAATGAATGATTTCCCTTTGAAATTCTGACCACCAATTCGCCCGTGCACCATCACTGTAATCCCTTGTGCTCTTCTAACTCTGTCTTGATCCTTTTCCCTCCTCCTCCACTGAATGTCTCTGATTTATAGTTGCCTGATGATTTTGAATCTTACTTTACTGTAGTTGCTTTTTTATTCCTGAGTCCTTATTTGGTTCCTCTACATTCCTCCTATAAGTGAGACCATTTTGAAATTTTCTTTTTTCTTTCTGGCTTATTTCACTCAGCATAATCCCTTCCAGCTCCATCCATGTTACTTCGAAGGACATGAGTTTATTCTTTTTGATTGCTAAGTAATATTCCATATGTAAATATACTTTTGAAAATTTCATAGCATGGTATAGGGAACATGAATTTAGAATTTAAATTCTAAATTTTGACTTGATTTAGTTGGGTTGCTTCCGTTGCTTACCTGTTGTAAATTGTGCTGCAGTAAACACAGGGATGCAGGTATCCTTTACTAATGTTTTTGTGTACTTTGAGTAAATTCCTAAGAGTGGAATTGATGGATCATATGGAGGTTCAATTTTTAGCAGATGGAAGAGCCTCCACATAGCTTTCCATAGTGGTTGGACCGGTTTGCATTCCCACCAGCAGTATAGGAGAGTTGCTTTTTTGCCACATCCTCACTGACCTCTTTTTAAAGGAAAGTTAGTATGTTTATGATAAATATTTTATTTGTTCTTTGCAATTTAGAAATAATTTTCCTTAAAAGTATAAATTCCATAGAGTGAACATTTAATGATTTACTGTAAATCAAATTATTAGCTTAAAAATCCCAGAGGCCAGAGTTCTAGAGCAGAGATGTATGTCAAGTTCTGAGGTTTGAAAGCAGTGCTTTTTTTATATATGATTTAGGATAGTAGGTTCGTATTCCTCAGATGTGTGTCACCATACCACACCTGCCACCAAGGTACTCATAGTGAAAGCAGTGCCTTTACAATAGTATGGAAAGTGGTCAAACTTAGTCTTTCTACTTATTAAATTATTAAAGTTGTGTGACTTCATTAACAGGCCACCAAATTATATTATTAACTGATACTACTTGACTAAAACAAACCAAACTTACACTAACTTAATTAAAAAGAGGGCTTTATCATAAAAATACAGAATGCATTATAAATTCTAAAATAAAATGGTAACCAAGCCTGGAGGTTAACTAGGTCTAGAAAACCACCTGTGATTCTTCATCTTGCTATTTCCTGTCTGCTTCTTTTTCTTCCTGCATACTGGCCTTTGCTTTTCTTTTTCACACAGCAGGTAGAAGATACTGATCCTATTTTCCCAAACCTGAATGCAGGTTACAGAAGATTTACTCTCTCCCAATTCCAATGTCTAATATCTTTTTTCTTTTTTAAGATTTATTTATGCATGGAGAACTGGGGTACAGACCAGAGGTGCAGAGGGTGAGAGGATTCACCAGAGACAAGAGTGGGGAGCAGAACAGGCAGATCAACGAAGTACACTGCTGAGGGGGGCAGTGGGCGGGTTAGGAGAGGTCTGCCGCGCCATGTGGATCACCTGTGGGGCGAGGATCGAACTCATGCTGAAGTGGCTTTAGCTTCTTTAGTGCTGTGCTTTAACCCACTGCGTCATCAGGGAGGGCCCTCTATTTTTTCTTTTTTTTAAGATTTATTTATTTATGCATACAGAACTGGGGTACAGGTCAGAGGCACAAGGTCTCAGGTGAGAGGATTCACCAGAGACAGAGTGGGGAGCAAAACGGGCAGATCGACGAAGTAACCTCCTGAGGAGAGCAGTGGGTGAGATAGGAGAGGTCTGCAATGTTGTGTGGGTCAGCTACTTGCCCAGGGATGGAACTGGCAGTGAATTGGCTGTGGCCAGCTTTGCAGTGCTGCCCTTTAACCTGTTGCAACACCAGGGAGGGCTCTCCAATGTCTAATTTCTAGGAGAGGATTTATGTATGACCCATTTGAGCTTAGGAGCTCTCACCAGCCCAGTTGACTGTGACCTGAAAAGTGGTCTAAATGGAAAAAGTGGTACTAATAGTTGTGAACCCACTGCTCTAATGCAATGGGGAGGAATAATGGGTAGCCTCAGTAAAAGGAAACAAGGCAGGCAACTTAGTATCCAAAGTAGTCATTAACTTTAATTTTGGAAATCATGTAGATCTTTTGAAAAGTACTGAAAAGTTTAAAATATAAAGCTGAACTCATCCATAATTGTATCATTCAGATCTATTCACATTTTTACCAGTATTTGCTTCTCATATGACTTAGATCATCATATTATTTAAATATTTAAGTTAGCATTATGTAAATGTTTTCTTATGGTTTCAGAATTATTTATAGATTGTATTTTTTAATGACTACACGGTAATCTAGTTTATGAATTTATCATATTTTAACCATTCTTATTGCTGAATATTTTTGTTGTGATAAACATTTTTCAAAATAAAACTTATCTGTATTTAAAATTAATATCCTTAGGGATAGAAATCCAGAAAAATGCTGGGGTAAAGAATTATGAACATTAAAGAAATACTACATTTTCTGTTTACTGCCAAATTGTTTTTCAGAAAGGTTGCTCAATTAAAAAAAATTTTTAGTGCTTATCTTATGAATTTTTATTTGTTTTTGCATATAAGGACTGGGGTATAGACCAGAGGTTG